GAGGGAAGGAAGGAAGGAAGGAAGGAAGGAAGGAAGGAAGGAAGGGAAAGGACTACTTAACCTGGGTCTTGTTGAATGAATAAGAGTTCTCCGGGGCTGGAAAGGAGCTATTTCAGCTAGAGAGGACAGGGCGGGTAAAGGGGGACCAGAAGAAAGAGTTTGTGCAGGAGCAGAGCAGCAGGTACCCATCTCCTGTTACTGCTGGAGATGTGAAAGTGAAAGGGGAGGGACAGGCAGGTCCCAGATGATGGAGAAGCATGTGCACCTTGCAGAGCACTTTCCCTTCGTCTTATTAGGATGAGAGCCCCTGGGAAGGTTCAGGGAGGGACACATGCAGTCGAGGGGTAGGGGCAGGCTGGAACCCTCAGTGCTTTAGCAACTTTAGTCCTGGGACTGTCAGGCAGAGCAGGGCACAGAGATGAACCATGTGTGAGCAGAGCCACTAGAGTCCCCTGAGGCCACCCACTGCTGACACTCCTCCACCTTGGCTCTGAAGGTCACCCTAGGAGTGGAGGGAGAGGACTGACACCCTGCCAGTGCATGTGTCTTCTGGGTGAAAGACAAAACAAAACAGGATCTTGTTGTAATGCTAGAGCTGGCTTTGAGTTTGGGACACCCCTGCCTCTGCCTCCCAATGCCTGGGACTACAGGACAAGCCAGTGCAGCTGGCCTCTTGGGCATAATCAGTTAGGCCAGGTGTTGAGGCACCTGGAGACATTAAACACTATTCCTTACCCTCACTACACATGGACAGAGAAGTGAGAAAGCTTTTTATAGGTGTAACAGGTCAGCCAGGAAAGGGAGCATCTGCACAGAACCCCTGCATTTGGGAGGTTGAGGCAGGAAGATCAAGAGTTGTACTTTACCCTTGACTACCTGGCAACCCTACTCATGGAGAAGGACACAGCTCATCAGCCAGAGTAGAGAAAATTTCAGGCTCTGCCACTCCATTCCCCAAGGTTGGCATCCAGCTGAGCCCCAGGACCCAGTGCTGACCCCAACTCCATGGCCTTGATCAGTGCAAGGCTGGATGAAAGAGAATAGAGGTATACCAGATGGCCTTGGGGAAAGACACTCCATGGAAGTAAGGACTTTCTGTTGCATTGCAGTGCCCAGAATGAAGCCAGATGTGAATGTGGCACTCTGAACCATCTGTTGTTGCCTGTGTGGGAGGTGCCACAGCAAGGGGCTTGCCGTGTGGGAGGGCTTTCTGGCAGAGTCAGACTGCCCGGGTTCAAATTCCACTTTCCCACTAGCCTAGGTAATGAGAAACAACTTTGCACCTCAGTGTCTGTCTCCCCTCTGTCAAATGGAGGTGACAACATCTATACATAACAAATCAATAGGGACATGCCAGTCCCTATGAAGAGTAACTTGCAGAAATGGGCCATCAATATCACTACAGAAGCTTGGTAGATCCTCTGGTCTCCACTGTCCAACTGTGTGTCCCTAGACTCGCCCCAGTCCCTTTCAGCTATAATAGGAGGCCAGACCCTACCTCCATCCCATCTGCCACACTGAGACTAGGTCACTGGGTCTGAGCTAGAGGTGACTCTACACTGCTCCTGCTAAGGGTCAGGGAACTACCGTCTCCGAACATGTCCAGAGTCCAGGTTTCCTCTCTCGGTGTCTCCATTCACACACATGTAAAATGAGAAGTGTTCCTAGGGAGTAACATGCTGTTGGGGTCTGCAATATGTTAGGCTGTTCTGGTTTGTGACTGTAGCTAAAGCCCCCTCTGCATGGAGGATGTCTCCTCAGAAGCCACAGGCCTTCAGGCTCCTTGCCTGGAGACAGGGGTGGGCTTCTGCTGCAAGACCCTGGCCTCTAAGTTAGGGCAATGCCCTTCCTTCCAAGCTATCAGGAGGCAGACCCTGGAGAGGTCCCCTCCCATACTTCCTGTCCATTCCAGGTTCCCAGAACGTTTACTGGCACCAAACTCTTCTTCTCATTGTCATTCCCCGGCTCATCCTACTCAAGACTGTTAAACTCCTACACACACTTCAACACCCAGCTCAAATGTTGCTCCCTCCAGAAAGGCCTCCCAGCATCCTACCTTCCCACCGAACTGAGAACAGGAGTACTCAGAACGGCTGAGAACGGGCCTCGGAGAAGGAAGGAGCCCTTTCTCCTCTCCAGGGCAGAAGGGAATGGGCAAGGGAGGAACCGGTTAGGAATGCCTCTAGGAACGTGTCTGAATGGGCGTCTCCATCAGGTCCCAAGAAATGAAATAGCTGGACTGGCCAGAATTCAAACAGGCCACCTGGCTACAGGCTGGGCTCTCGAGAAACCACAGGAGTGATTGATGTTGGATGGGGGAGGGGGAGGGAGGGTGAATGGAACTCTACCTTGTCACTGGCTATGACTCAGGCTGAAGTGCGAGGGCGCTGGTGTCAAGTCTGAAGACACAGGCACCTGGCCTGGCCAGGAGGAAGGACTGGAAGAGGGTGATTGCCCAAGATTCCTAGAGCATGGGGTGGGGAGTGGGGGCTGTCCTGCGACTTCAGCTGTGGGTCACTCCTAGTCCTTTCTCTGTAGCTCTCTGGGCCCTGCACCCTTATGGCATCGTTCCTGTGGTTAGAGGGTGCAAATGGGCCCCCACCGATGTAGCTCTGGGGAAGGCGGGGTTTGAAGCCCCCTACCCACAAACCCTCTTCACCTCACCTCCAGCTCTGTGTTGGTAGCAGCGGGGAGCCCAGCTTTGCCCCAGTGCTTAGTGCCCGGAATCACAGGAGAGACGTCTAGTTCTATTTTACTCTGCCTCCAGCATTCTTGCAGGGTGAGAAAAGGTTTCACAGTGTGTTCGCAAACCTAACACGCAGACTTCCGCGGGTCAAAGCTCTCCACTCATGGAGCCTCGAACCAACTTCCCTAACATGGGCACTTGTCCAGTGGGGAAGCAGGTTGTGACCCATCAGGGACTGGACTGACTTATCCATGGGATTCCTCCATCCCTCGGAGCCCCTAGAACCCTCAGAGGCCTGCCCACCCGCGGGAGACAGAAGAAAAGACAGACAGCAAGAGGCAGACAGAAGATCACAACAGGCAGGAGCTCACCGGCTGGATTCGGAGATCGGGGCTGGGCCGGGCGCCGCGGCTGAGCAGCGCTAACGGGCCTCTCGGGGCGCCCTGGGGGCTTTTTATCCTCCAGCCTCCCTCCCCAAGTCGGGCCCTTCCCCGGGGGAGGTCACAGGCCCCGCCTCGGGCGCGCCTGTGTGCACGGGCAGCCCCGCCCAGCCGGCCATCAGCCAGGCGCGCAGCTCGGGACAGGGCCAAGTTGGGAAGTCCCAGGCGCTGCGGGGAGCGCAGGGATGACGGAGTCCCCGGAGACTCAAGGCAGTGGCAGCACCGAGTGGCTAGGATCGGGTCTGCGAGTCCCTCTGCAAACACGGTTTTCTCCTCTAACAGGCGATCAGGGCTGTGTCCCATTGACTTCGTGGAACTGAGCGCCCCACAGTCTTAGGTCTGGCTCCCGAGGGCTGCTTATGCAGAACAATGCTAGCGCCCCTTTGGGTCAGAACCCCATTTAGTGGTAGGGCGATGGTGCTTGAATAGCAGGGGTCAGCCTCTCTGTGACCTGGTCCTCCAGGTTTTCTGAAGGCGTCCTGAGAGCAAAGCTCTGCTCATTGTGAAATTCAATTCCAGGAGACAGGATTTGCTCCCCAGAGTCATAAACCTCTCAACAGAGAACTTCCGGTACTTAGCCAGGTTGTCCCTGGTCCTTGCCAGGTTCAAGGGCGTGGGGGCAATAGGATGGAGGGGATTAAGAGGCTATAGGATACAGCAAATGAAGGAAGGCCTGAGGAGGGGAGTCCCCAGCTGAAGTACCAACCAGGCTCCAAGCCTCAGGCTTCCAGTCTTGGTCCCTTGAGCTCCTTCAGAATCTCACTTGTGAAATGAGCAGAAGTTTCCAGCTTCCTCTCTAGTGTCAGAACAGCGAGTGGTGAGTGGCATGTCCCCCACATATTGCCAGGTATCCTAACGATTTCTTCATTCAGGCCCCTCTGTTGATTTTCTCCTATGTGTTAGAAAAAGGGCTGAAGTGCTAGACGCTGACAGGGGTCTATCCCAGTCTGGAGAGGGAGGGTGTGTAAATAAACGTGACCTCAAGGCAGAGGTAATAAGGACCAGGATGGCATGTGACAGCCAGGTCACCTTAACCATGTTGCCAGAGACCTGGGTCCACCCCTGGCTGCTCATGTCTAAGATGTCCCCCCAGTGGCCCTACCCCACCCGACCTGGGCCCAAAACATTCCCTAGAATGAATCAACAGGAAAGAATGCTCCCAGCCTCAGGTCAGTGGCAGAGGCAGAAA